CATCAAAGCACAAGGAAAACTTTAGAATGCAGATATTTAAGTCTCATTAAAAAGGCTTACAGACAAACTCACTGCACTACTCACAACTATGAAGTATCGTACGTCAAGTTTTAATGCCACATGATGGCACTCTTTTAATATCTCTAAATCATAACAGATAAAATGAAATAATGAGATTACAATTAACTTTAAAAAAAACAAACAAACAAGAAAATTTGTTTACTCCAATTCTTTTCCGCTTTTCTTTTATTGATGCAGAGCTTATGTGCAGCTGTCATGTGATAAATAAACAGCAGCTAGATGGGTGCTCATTAAATACTTAAATCAAATTAGGATTTATCAAAATTATCATTCTCCTGACATGATTACTAACTTATCTGCGGCCAGTCCTGCAGGTTTGTCAGGTGAAGCAGCTTAAGCTCAATGAGTAATATCATAATAATCAGACACCTCAGTTTATAAAAAGACACGTGGAGCAGAAGGAAAGAAACCTCAACAGTACTGAAGTACTCAAAGAGTACCTGAAACAGGGTCAACGCATGCTCTCATTAATCAGGAATTTGACTGTTTATAGCATTTGTATGAAGTTAAAGATTTAATAAAGTAAATAAAAGATTTAATAACAATTTTAAACCACTTTCACTTTTATTGCTGAAAGCTTTTATATGAAAAGATGTAAAACTTACAAGTGTACTTAATCGATATTATATACCCCAAAGTGATGTAACGTTTACCTTGTGGATCTGCTTTTTTGAAGGCATTTCCAGCATCTATGAAGTTGGTTGCTGCATCATGTTTGCTCTGCATCTGCAGGTGAAGGTGAGCAGCTTGGGAGAATGCATTTCCTGCAGCTATTAAGAAGATAAATTGTTGCATTTTAAAATCACTGAAAAAAAAGAAAGAGGCATTCAATACATTTGTTGTGTTGAAATGCGACAATCATCTTACCACACCAATTCTTGGCCATTTTGTACATGTTAGCTGCCCTCACCAACATGTCACAGGCTTCTTCCAGCTTTGAGGAGCCACTGTGTGACAAAACATGTTTTTTCTCTTAATAAGACACCCATGATATAAACACTTTACTCAGTAAAATCCCTTTGGAAAGATGTATAATAAGCAGATTTTTTTTTTGTTTAGTATACTTACATGCAAAATTTTAGCACCATAATAAGAACATTTTAAAAGCAATGGGATAAAACTTTATTAATTTTATTATTATTTTTTCCTCATTACTTCAAATGTGCAGAAGACTGCCTTGTGAAATTTTCAGGGCTGACAAACATATTTAAGCTCAGTTTCAAAACAGCGACCAAATCAATTTTGAAATCCACTCTCACACCCAAGTCTCACAATCTAAAGCCAAAATCTAATTTTTGCCCATAAGGATCATGGGATATGTTATAATTTAAATAGTACAATTGCACCAACTGAATGCCTATGACATAGAAGAAGAGGAGCAAGGATTGGCATGCGAAATATTTGATCTACTTTTTTTTTTGGTTTTTTTATAAGTCACTGGTCGAAACAAGTTATAGCGGTCCTTTTCCCAGCCGGCACTCACTGATTTTTCATTCAGTGTGCAATCCTTTAAACTTTAAGTTACTATTTAATACTGAGTAAAGGTTTGTAAAACCGTATACAAGTACAAATATAAAAGTGTTGACTTTGCTTGTGATTTCAGTCCCATTATCCACACACAACTATCTTGACAATTAAATTTTCGCCACAAACCTCTCGCGGATTGTACAGCCTCATACATAACACGTAGCCTTTAACCTTGCACGTGAGCTCCTGCTACAATAATTTTAAAAAAAAATCCAACCTGAAAAATTAACCTGCATTTAGGTTGTTATATGCAAAGCCGGTTGTCCAGGTTAGTGAGAGCTAGTCTTACAGGAACATTCGCTACATCACAAGTGCGCTTTCTTCTTTTGCTGTAAACAAATGTGAATGACACGTGATTTGGACAGAGTGGCCTTCCGAAAATTGCCCAACAGACGGCGCTATAGGGGAAGCGCTGCCTTTACAATTAAGTGAAATTATCTTGAATTGTTAAACAATTCAGCTTTGGATTCAACTGAAGCTATTTCTAGCATGAAAGCTGCCTTAAAGCAGAGTCTAAAATAAGCAACTACCGACTATTTCGAGCTATCTTTCACACTAAACGCTTTCCAGATATACGACGAGCCGAGATAAGCTAGATATGCTAAACGACAGCCTCGAAAATAACCGCATAACACTAACTACAACTTATAAAAGCAACCGACAATTATTTAAAATCGTTTTGTCCTGGCTTTTAACCCTTGTGGTCAGCTTCCAACCTTCCGCATAGCTGTCTCCTTTAGCCAAACGTTAACGTTAGCTAGCTGACAGACTCACCCAAACAACGCTCCAAAAAATGACTGAGACGATTTCATTTTCTTTTCAGCCTCGGCCATCAAAGCATTTGCTTCCTTTTCTTTTCCGCTGTTATCCATTTTCAGGCAATCGGTATGTTTCTGAGAGAGAACGAATAAATGTAAAAGTCAACAAACTCGCTAACCACTGCTAGTGGCTGCAGGCTTGCCTTGTCACATCACCAGCCGCAAAGTAACCGTCACCTCTGTCACGTGACACCGGAGCATCGACGCACTACTGTTTCTGCTGCTGGTGCATTCAAGTACTCTTTTGCTATCCAGTATACTAGTCATATCTGGTAACCGTTAAAAGTTAAATCAAAAAAGTTACATTTTAATCTTCGTATGGTTTTAGTGTAGTTATTGACTTTGTTTCAGTGAACTGAGCTGTCCTTTTTCTAACTTTGCTAATAAGTCATTCTAATTTTGTATTTAAACTTTTACGTGTCTTTGTGATTCGAGTCTATTTTTGTAGGGAGTTGTAGTTTTTGTGTCCGATATGGAACTCTTTGTACTTGATGTGTTTCTTTTTACAGTCATTATTGCTTCTGGTTTTTGTTTGTTTGTTTGTTTGTTTTTACCAATAGTGGTTCTGGAATATCTGTTTATTGTCTGGTATGAGCTGGTATGAAAATCTAGAACTGGATTATCCCATAGTCTATCCAGCTAACCAGCTAACAACTACTTCTAGTATTTCTAATCACCAGTAATGTAAAGGAGAACACATCACAGCTGTACAGAGACTGCTGTAAAGTTAAGTGGTGTCATAACAGTAAATTTCTATTCATAAAACACAACCCTAAAAATGTATTAAATAGCCTCCTTCATTTTCTCTTTTGACTATAACTCAAACATACAGTATGAATACAAAATATGCATATGTAATCACAAATAGTTACATCCACAAGCTATAATATCAAGCACAATGGTTCTTGGTTTGTGATCAGCCTAAGAATAAATCGATGGATGGATAGTCAGTTCATTAGAACTGCATGTAACGTTACATGTTAATGGGTATTAACACAGTAAAGTGTTAAAGTGATATCACGTGGTACTTCTCATAGTTTGCATATACCACTGATTTCTTAAATATGTTTTTAAAAATTTTAACAAAGAACAATCAAACAGTTCAACGTACACAAAGCAACACCACCCTCTTCCCCCCACAAACACACATCCACACCCACACACCTGACAGTTTTACTACACAGCAAGACAATCAAGGCTTATTTAGAAAAATAAACAAATACATGAATAAAAAGAAACATAATTATAATGGTGGTAATGAGTAATTAAGTAAAACAAGGAAAAATAAAAACAGTTAACTATTCCCCACAAATTCAAGTGCACTGCATGCATGTCTTTTCAGTGTAATCAGTCAGCAACTGCCATCAAGTTGTAACAGAGTTGAGGTTATTTTCCAAGTCTAGGGGCATACAATCTGAAAAGAAGTGACCACACACTCAGGAATAACTCTTCATTTCCTTTTATTTTCCTTCATTTCCATGCAAAATGGATGTTAAAAATAGTGATAGTTGTGATTTTATTTGTAGCAGCTTCTGACAAATCCTCCTGACATAATTACTCATGTGATTTGTGTCTTTTTGTGTTTTTGAAATTATTTTTGGCTCTGTTTAGCAGTGCTCAAACAATATTATTGATATGGACCATATAGAAACGTTTGCACATTATAATGCTGAACAGCATACTTCAGGGTCACCACATTGTCCAGGTGAGCAAACCTGATTATGTTTGTAACATTCAGCAGGTGTTGGCAGAACACTAAACATTGTTTGGAAAGTTAACACGGTCCAATATGGCCTATCGCTTTTCAGTATAACTGCAGTATCCTATATGTATATATGGATATTGATTATCAGACAAATAATTCATATCAGATTTGCTGTGTAAACTGGTACACTATTTCTGCTTGCTTTGTGAGCTGTACTAGGCTACTTTGACTGATAAACACTTTATAGCACAATCCGTGACTAAGGGTGTAATCCCCCTGTAGCAAAAATGTAATTTTAATGTATTTTATTTGAAATTATAATCCAATTATACTTACCCACAAATACCTAAATGGAGGAACATTAGAATAAGGGAGTTACAAGACTAAGTCTTATAGGACACAAATAATTAGTAGTTAAAAGTAGTGCATAACTTCAGTTACTTTATATTAAAGGATGCACAGATTAGTAATTTTTAGTAGTGCACTGCAACTGTATCGGGGATGTGCCTTATCAGGCCCAGACGTTTCCAGGTATGTGCTATTTACTTCGTTTTTAAACATCAAGGGTTAGCTTTTCGCGCGATATCAGCTGCAAATCTCCAGTCCTTTTTCCTAAATTTCAGACTTCAGCTTTACAAACAAAAACAGCCCCACAAATTTACTGAGAAATGTGTTTAATTGTACGAAAAAACTTTGCCAAGCACGTCGAAAGAAAAGTTCTGCCACGGTATACGCAGGAGGATAAGATTTCAATCAGGCAAACCGGAAGTCTCCTGTTTCCTGCCTTGTAGTTGGGTCCTGTACAGCAGCCCGTGCGAGGCTGTCCTGGAGACCCCGCGCTGCCTGCACCTCTATCGTCTCGGGTGAGTTTGTTACAATGTAGCAATTTCTCTATTAATCCAAAAAACTGTTACAAAGCTGCAATATTCGCGAACTGCACGCGAGCCACGAACTGCACAGCTACCGCAATCGAAGCGCCACGCTGCCGCACGAACCGGCGAACATGCTCATTTTCCACCGAATTCCCAAGCATACCCCCCTCATCCAAGAGTATTCCAACATTAACTCATATTTTGCTTACAAGGAGAGATAGCTAGCTACGCAATTGCGTTTACGCTTCAAATCAGACAATACTGCCTTGTCTTTGTCAAATCGAGGCATCGTTGTGCACTAGGGGTGTTAAAATTGTGTCACTCGCTGGTTTGTTTTGAATGTCAAAGCCTCAAGCTAGCTGTACGTCTCAATATTGTTGATAGCTTGTTGGCTTAGCTGGTTAGCTAGCTAGGCTAACGAAAGTCAACCCAGATGCGTTAAAATGACTGAAAATAGAGGCAAAACAGTGGTTTAAAATTAAACGTTTTGTTAAATTAGTGTTTTAAGTCAGCAGTGTGGCTACGAAATACTCCGTGTTGTGAGTAATAAGCGAAATATACATGCAAAGCTCTTTGAAAACACTAGCTAGCATGTAGCAAGCCTCTTGCAGTGACTCCATTCATATCCTGCGTACTAGCTGCGCTCTAACCGAGCAATGGCTACGATCTGCTGCTGCTTCAGAGCGGCAACTGGGTGTACGGTCGCTTTATAGGTCTCGGTAAACTCGTGGAAGCTGATTTGAGATGGTGTTTTCGTGTTGTTGGAAACGAAAGGCACAGCTGGTGTTTTGAGTTGTGGTAAATTCAGCGGGAGGCGAGAGCCCGTTCTCGAAATCTTTGCAGGCGGAGCGAAAACCGCGCGTTTTCAGTTTGTTGTCTATTGCCATCCGCTGTTTTTTCGGATTTTAACAAATATGAGTTCTGCTTGGTATCTCGATGGGTTCCTTACCACATGGGGATTTCTGTTGTTGATAAGTGTAGGTGTTAAAAGACGTTGAATTTTTTGAAAATCAGTTTCTGTATTTAACTGTAAACTTTATTATTATTTTATAATTTTAAGGACCTCATATTTTATTTATCACGTCATGCTTGCTTTATCCTAACAAGACACCGAAATATCTGACAGTGATAGGTGATGTAATGATTTAATGAGTCATTACTCATAATTTGAATTTTAAAAACACACAGGGGAAAATCAAGGACTTTGAAATTAATGTGATGGACTTCATAAATGTTTATTAATATTGTTATTAACTAACTATGTAGCCCATACTACCTAAGAGTAATTAGAGTGAGTTTATGTTATTCGGAAACTATAAGAAAAACATTAACATTGAAATTTGTGTTGATAATGTATATCTAGAATGGGTTAATACCATAAAATTTCTTGGTGTGATCATTGATCATAAGGCCTGTTGGAAATCACATATCACTTATGTGAGGGGAAAGTTAGCACGGGGCATTGCTGTCTTGGGGAAAGTAAAACAATTTCTGGATAGGAAAACATTGTATATGTTATATTGTGCTTTACAATTACCATACATGAGTTATTGTGTAGAGGTTTGGGGCAATACATATAAAAGTAATATTCAGACTATAATCATAATGCAGAAAAGGGCTATTAGACTAATAAATCAGGAGGGGTATAGGGCTCACACAAACGCACTCTTCATTAAGACGCAAGCTATAAAATTCCAGGATCTGGTGAAGTTTAAAACGGTGCAAATAATATATAAGGCAAGAGAAGGGATGCTCCCAATCGAAATAAGTAAATGGTTCTTAGAAAGAGAAGGGAGGTACAATTTTAGAGGGAAGTGGAATTTAAAATTACAAAGAGTAAGAACAACATTGAAAAGGATGTCTATTTCAATAGCGGGAGTTAAATTCTGGAATGAATTAAAAGAAGAAATAAAGGTCAGTAGTGATATAAACCAGTTTAAAATAAAACTCAGAAAAGAAATTATAAGTATAAGTATAAGAATGAAGAAAATGCAATTAACCCAAGACAGCAGTTAAACTGATGTTTATTTTCTTCTGCAAATTAGCAAATCTAAATATAGTTTTAGTTGAACATGAGAAAATATATTTTTGTGATGTTATGTTCTAAGTTGAAGGCATTGTAATTAAATGTTTTTTGTTGTTCAAATTTAGATGATGATGATGTAAACCTGAGGGGGTAGGGCTAAATAAGTACATACTTCTGCCTACTTTTCAAACAACTACATGGAAAGATTTTATGAAATGTTGGTGAATGTATATGTTTGAAATAAAAATGAACTGAACTGAACTGAGTGTTTAAATATAACTTAGTCTTTTTGGATGCCAAATGACCATGATGGTTAGTCCAGCTTACTGGATAGCTTTGGAAGCAAGAAAAATGTTTAGATTTTTAATGCTTGTGATTTTTCAATAAAATGCATTTCTAGACCTGGTAGAGTTATGACATTTTTACATTACAGCTTAATCCATACCCTAAACTATGTTGGAATTGAAAGTATTTCTGTATCTTGACAAATTTTTAGTCATAAAGAGTAAAATAATACATTAGTTCAGTTTAAAAACAGAATTAGAAGGTTTTGTGCTTTTAGAGAGATACTGTAAGCTAGTATAGGCTGTTCTTCATCAGTGTTGCACATCGATAGGTAATTAAATGTTAAATGTTTAGTTGTACTCTAATAAATTAAAAGGAACGTATCTTATTGTGAAATTGTTTTACTGGTGTGGCTCACTAGAGATCAAATTCAGTTGTATGTGGCCCATTAACTGAATATAGTTAGAACCCCCTCTTTGTCTAAACTAACGATCTGAGAACATAATATTAAGATCTGTGGTTTCTTTTTGTAGTTCTTCTAAGGAGTGAGCAGCTAACTCAAATCTATGTTCAATTACAATTATGACTTCCAACAGTTATGAAAACAAGATAAATGAGGTAACAGAAATATTTTTGCTTTCTTTTTTTCTTTAGTTTCTTTTTGCAGCAGTACGCTAATTTTGCCTTTAGTTTTTTAATCCAGTGTACTTGTTTTCTTTACAGTGGTGTTTATTTGCCTCTCACTAAAAACCCCAAGTCACGCCCCCAGATGCTGTGACAGTTTAAATTTGGTTAACAAGCAAAACAAATTAATCTGTTTGGAAACCGAGTGATAACCAGGAGTCCAACGGGGAGCAACAAATATATTATTTCATTATTTTTTAAGTTAATTAGGAACAAAGTAATAGTGATTATGATATTTGCACCAATAGAATAATTTTGACGTTTTCTCATGATGACAAGCAGTGCTGAAAATATGTTTTATTGCTACTTTGCAGTGCTTTACAAAAAAAATTAACAAAAATTTGTTACTTCTAAGGATTAGTAATATTAAATAATCATATGAAATTAATTCCTGTCATGCTGAAGAAGCATAGGACTTGAAAAACATCACTGTTCTGTAGTTCACTATCAAGTGTGGCAAGCCATAAATCAGCTTCTGTGTAAACATGGAGACAAAAATGGCTGGGTTCGAGTCCACTCTGGACATTTCTTGTGTATCATTCCCCTCACTCTCACTGTTCTTTTGCATTGCTCCCTACTGCCCTATCAAAATAATAATAATAATAATTAAAGCGTGCACTGACAATGAAATAAATCAAGTTGTCATAAAAACAATTTCTCATCTTTAACAGTTGTCATGGATGATGAAGACGGCAGGTGCCTTCTAGATGTAATTTGGTAAGTTAATGATGACTCGATGAAAATCGGCTAAATCTCATCACAACCTGGTCAGCCATTTCTTCCCTTGTACTGTGAAGATTCACTTTGTTTTCTCTTGCAGTGACCCAGAAGCTCTCAATGACTTTCTTCATGGATCTGAGACCCATGTGAGTATGAGTGGGGGAGGGTGTTTTTTAAAAAAGAAAAGAAAGAAAGATGTCTCCTTTTTTTTTAAGTTTATGATTTCTATTTACAAAAAGTGAGTTTGTAATTGATGTGATGAGGAGTCATAATTATGCATATTTTTGTTAGTGCTGGCATCAGTTAGTGAAGTGTGACTCTGTACTTAAGTCACTTTAGATTACACGTTAATGCACTCTGAAACCTGCTTCCCTCACTGCTTTCATGTAATTTTCTTATTGCTGTATCTGCTTAATGGTTTTCTTTGCTTTTGATTTGCACTATTTGTAGTTCCAGCCTCCCTTCCCTTTTTATTTGGCATATTCACAAAATGAGAAACGATAATACTAACGCTTCCCAACTCTGTATTACACCTATCATTTTGCCTTTTTGTCACTTATCCTTTTACTGGTTCTTTTACAATCTGGGTTTCCTGGACTGTATTCTGTCCTTTCCTTGCCCTTCCCCTGGCTGATGGTTTGTATATTTATCTGTCCTGGTGACTTTTGCCTGCTGGTTTGGGTGCCTTTGGTTTCCATCTTTCCTATCCTTTGTGGGTGTGTCTGTAGTTGGACACTGACGACCTTTTGGATGGTTCAAGTGACCCCTCCAGCTCATTCTTCTCTGCCACTGGGGTGAGTAAAATCCCCCAATGCTCTTCCTTCTGTTTTCTATTTATATATGTCGCATGCTTCACCTATTACTCCTCTCCCATCTACTAACAAACCTACACTTGACAGGCTTTGTTTTGCTGCATTCTGACATGATATTTGTGTGGGGTTTTTGTATTTGCATTACTTTGTTCATTTCCACCCCTTACCATCATATCTAGTGATGAAAATTTACGTGTTACCTGATTTCACTTATTTCCTCTTCGTTTTCCTCCTTTCCTTGAAGGGCCACGTTCCAGAGGTCCAGCCTACAGCCCAGCTGTCGGCCAATGAGTCAACAGGCCTTCCTAGAGTCAGTGTTGACTTGGACTTCTTGGAGGATGATGACATCTTGGGAGGGTCCCCAGGTGGAGAAGGTGGGAGCAATGGCATTGGGACAAATCATGAGCCATGTGACATCTTGCAGCAAAGTTTGGCTGAAGCCAACATCACAGAGCAAAGCTTACAGGAGGCAGAAGCTGAGCTGGACCTGGGCTCCTTTGGAATTCCAGGCCTTACACAGGTGGTTCAGACACTGCCTGATGCCAGCCTTGCTGGGGCTGGAAACAGTGCTGTTGGTGTAGGCATTGGTGTTGGGGGAGCAGCAACAATTTTTCCCGGGTCAGCCACGAGCACCACTGCTACTCCCCCCAACGCCACAACTGACATGCTAGGGTCAGTCCTTGCTCAACAGGGCCTTCAACTCCAATCCCAGGTCATGAACAAGGCAATCAGTGTTCAGCCATTTATGCAGCAAGTGGGCCTAGGAAATGTGACGCTTCAACCCATTTCAAGTCTTCAGGCTCTTTCTAATGGGAGTCAATCTGGACATTTGGGTATTGGACAGATTCAGGTTGTGGGTCAGCCTACCGTCATGACTATCAATCAGTCTGGCCAGCCAATCCTGGCTAAAGCCATGAGTGGTTACCAGTTACACCAGTCTGGGCCAGAGGTATCAGGTGCTGGTCCTCAGCCAGGGCTTGGAGGCTCAGGAGGTGGACTTCTGATCCAAAGTAATAAAGCTACTCTCGGATCCCCAGCTTTAAATGGACCGGCTGTTTGTGTCAGCAGCACAAACAGCAGCAGTGGTGGTACAATGACTGCTCCTGCTGGGCTTGTGGGTTTTGGCAACACCCTTCTAAGTTCAGGAATAGGATCCCAGACACAACCTCAAGGCCAAATCATGCAGAACGTGATCATCCAGCGCACACCACCACCTATTCAGCCTAAACCCCCTCAGGGGGGAGCCATCCAACCGAAACTCTTCAAACAACAACAGCAGCCACAGCCAGCACCCCAAGTCTTGCAAAATGATGCCCACAAGGCCCTAGGGCTGCAGCAACTTCCAGTTTCTGCTGCTCAGAATGTAGCCTTCCTGACAGGAAAGCCAGGCTCCAATGTTGTCCTGAGTACTCAAGCCACAACTCAAGGCGCTCAGTTTCAGCAAACCCTCTTCAAGCCACAAGCAGCACAACCATCTGGCAAGCCCCTGAGTGTACACTTGTTAAACCAATCTAGCAGCATTGTTATTCCTTCTCAGACAGTTCTGCAAGGTCAGAACCACCAGTTTCTCTTGCCACAGCTGCAAGCAGGTGGGCAGATCCTGACCCAGCACCCCGGGGGCCACATCATCACAAGCCAGGGTCCTGGTGGACAAATCATTGCAAACCAGATTTTAACTGCAAACCAGAATATCAACTTGGGTCAGGTGTTGACGTCGCAGAGCCATCCTGGGGCAGCCCACATCCTCTCTGCACCCATTCAGCTCCAGCCTGGCCAGATGGGCACGCCTACCCTATTTCAGATGCCTGTCACATTGGCTCAGAGCCAAAATCAGACACAGACCCAGACTGTCTCAGGTCATGCCCAGACAGTCATACAGGGCATGCCAATTCAGAACCCCCTGACCATGCTGAGCCAGGTGGAAGGACTGAGCCCCGCTGTCAGCCTTCAGCCAGCCTTGCAGCCTCAGCCAAGTGGAGTCCCTAGCAGCACAGTAGCAGCAACTATGGCTCAAGGACAGCCTGGAGAGTGTGTAACTGTGCTGGGAAGCTCCACAGACCAGGCTACTCATCCCACTCAGCAGCTTGTACCACAGCCATCTATCCTTGCCATGCAGCCGGCTTCTACTGTGTCCACGGTTACCACTGCATCTTCCTCCTCTCCGTCCATGTCAGTTTCCACCTCTTCCTCTGTCACAGCAGTGGGGCTGGTCCCCCCTCAGGCTCAGCAAAGTCCAGGGAGGTTACTGTTCACCAACCAGGGCCCCAGCATGATCCTGAGCCAAGAGTCTCTGCAAATGTTTCTTCAACAGGTCAGTGTTCAAACTTAAAACTTTTGCTTACCTTGTGTTCAGTTAACATTGTCTAAAAAGATGAATAACATGCATGGAGTGATATCTTGGTTTGACCTCTTTGGTTTACTATTTTACTCCCCCTTCCCTCCAATCCCCTTCCTCCTTCCTTCCCTCCCTCATCCTGAAATGGTAAATGTACTCCAATCAGGAGCAGCACCACCAAACAGAGAATGAGTCAACCCCCTCTGTGGGCGTACCTGCATCTGTAATCGTCAGCAGCAACAGCATCCCTACTCCGGCCCCTGCTGTCCATGACAGCCAATTAACTGACTCTTGGGTGGGCCAGAGCCACAGCCCTTCCCCTATGGTAAAGCAGGTAGAAATGCCCCTTTATGTTGAGCCCCACCCCCTTGTTGCTGCTGCTGCTGCCTCCACAACAATGTTAGGATATCTTATCTTTTCTCCTTACTATTCTGTACCTCTCTTCTGCATTGGTCATTGCTTCTATGGCGCTCACCCTTGCTCTGCATTTCCAAAGAACAAATATGATTGTTGGCTTGCGGCTTCTGTGTGTTTCTTACGTTGCTTAATTACATGCAAAGGCATGATCATTCCAGTTGTCCATACCTATTGCGTGCTAACTACTCTGAATTTAGGACTGGCAAACAATATTCAAAGGAATATCTTTTTCTTTTTTTTAATTCATTTGATATTTTTAATCAGTTCTAACATCCTTGACTCAAAGCTGAAATGGGCAAAAGTTATGGTATAATTGGACTATATATTTTAGCATGCTGAAATATACGAGATCTAATCTTTTTTGGCCTTTTCTGGATTTCTGCCTACAGCAGCAAGGCTAGAATAATCTCTTCACTAACACTGCTTAGTCACAGTAAATGAACTCATCTTCATCTGCTGCATTACTGATTAAGGACTGATGAATTGATTCACTCCACACTATCTTCCACCTCTCACCCCTCTGTCCCCTAGTGTGACCAGGGTAATGAGCCCCCCCAAAACCAAAATGACATGTTCACCTATCCCTCGTCCCTCAAGTCTGCAGATCACCTCCTAATTTACCACCACAGACCCACAGATCTTGATTTCTTGCTTTTGTCTACAGTTTTTCTTTTTGGCTCGCTAAATAATCATTGCCCTCTTCTTATGTGTAAATGCTAGAAATAAAATCTGTGAGCTTCTACTACTTTTACTTTAAAATCTATTAGTTTTTAATTCTAACACTTTGCTTTTGTGTTTGTTTGGTCGTTATTTACTTGTGTTTGTGTACGTCGGGATTGGGTGATAAATCTGTATTATTATCTATTAGTTTATTTGATTGTTTCTTTTTTTCATTTTAAAGTGTCTGAGTATATTATGATATTTGCAATTAGGATTTTTAACCTAGGTGTAAGTATTAAACTCAGTATTATGATGCATACATATAGTACATCATAATAAATATTGATGTCAAAAACGTGAAAAGCCATATCGCCCAACCCTACTTTGTGTCAAATCTCAGATTGTGTCCTGGAAACTTATTCGCTATAGACTTTTTGTATGTGATTTTTCTTCTTTTTTTATGTGCTTAATATCCTGATTTCATTCTTCCTTAAACTGTTTGCTCCCTTGAATCAGATAAGCATACTGTATTTTGATTCCACTTCTTCAGGTACCCTCCAGTGGACATCAGCAGCCTCTGAAGATCCATAGAATGTCTCCTTGTCCACCTGCCACAGCACCACCAGTGGCAGAAAGTCCCCAGCCTTCCCAGTCTCCTCTTACTCTGAGCCAGCAGATCCAGTCACCACACCACCAACAGCAGTCACGCCCTCCCTCTCAGCCTCAGCCACAGTCGCAAACTCCTTCTCGCTCATGCACACCCTCATCTCACCCTCCACTCTTTATTGTCCATAACCAAATTGCAGAGTCCCCCAAACCAGCTCTACAGGGCCAGCCACAGCAAACGCCACCCCAACAGACACACATTCAAGTTCAACTTCAGCCTCAGCCGGCCTCTCAGTCTACCCCTTACCAACAAGACATGCCTCCTATGTCACAGTCACCGAAGCCTCCACCTGCACAACATCAGTTCACTGCAGCTCCTGTCAGCGCTTGTGCCACCACTGTGGTTAAAACTCATGTTCCCATCCAGGGCCTGACATCAGATCAGCAACATAATCTGCAGTTAGTAGGAGCACAAATTCAGACTCTTTCAGCCATCTCTCAACCCTCACCTAAGCAGAAACAGCTGCTGGAAAGGCTTCACCAGGTATCATTACAATGTTACACATTTCTTCTTACTGAAAACTTGTAACGTAATTAGCATGCAATTAGGGATCTTGACTGTAAAATCACTGTGTGTATTTTTGACTTATTCTTTTTTCTGAGGTTCAGCAACATGCTAAGTTGCTTTCACTAGTACAGTTTGTATTGTCGTGGAAAAATAATATATGCGATTTCTGTATACAGTGGGGCAAAAAAGTATTTAGTCAGCCACCGATTGTGCAAGTTCCCCCACTAAAATGATGACAGAGGTCAGTAATTTGCACCAGAGGTACACTTCAACTGTGAGAGACAGAATGTGAAAAAAAAATCCATGAATCCACATGGTAGGATTTGTAAAGAATTTATTCGTAAATCAGGGTGGAAAATAAGTATTTGGTCAATAACAAAAATACAACTCAATACTTTGTAACATAACCTTTGTTGGCAATAACAGAGGTCAAACGTTTACTATAGGTCTTTACCAGGTTTGCACACACAGTAGCTGGTATTTTGGCCCATTCCTCCATGCAGATCTTCTCGAGAGCAGTGATGTTTTGGGGCTGTCGCCGAGCAACACGGACTTTCAACTCCCGCCACAGATTTTCTATGGGGTTGAGGTCTGGAGACTGGCTAGGCCACTCCAGGACTTTCAAATGCTTCTTACGGAGCCACTCCTTTGTTGCCCGGGCGGTGTGTTTTGGATCATTGTCATGTTGGAAGACCCAGCCTCGTTTCATCTTCAAAGTTCTCACTGATGGAAGGAGGTTTTGGCTCAAAATCTCACGATACATGGCCCCATTCATTCTGTCCTTAACACGGATCAGTCGTCCTGTCCCCTTGGCAGAAAAACAGCCCCATAGCATGATGTTTCCACCCCCATGCTTCACAGTAGGTATGGTGTTCTTGGGATGCAACTCAGTATTCTTCTTCCTCCAAACACGACGAGTTGAGTTTATACCAAAAAGTTCTACTTTGGTTTCATCTGACCACATGACATTCTCCCAATCCTCTGCTGTATCATCCATGTGCTCTCTGGCAAACTTCAGACGGGCCTGGACATGCACTGGCTTCAGCAGCGGAACACGTCTGGCACTGCGGGATTTGATTCCCTGCCGTTGTAGTGTGTTACTGATGGTGACCTTTGTTACTTTGGTCCCAGCTCTCTGCAGGTCATTCACCAGGTCCCCCCGTGTGGTTCTGGGATCTTTGCTCACCGTTCTCATGATCATTTTGACCCCACGGGATGAGATCTTGCGTGGAGCCCCAGATCGAGGGAGATTATCAGTGGTCTTGTATGTCTTCCATTTTCTGATGATTGCTCCCACAGTTGATTTTTTCACACCAAGCTGCTTGCCTATTGTAGATTCACTCTTCCCAGTCTGGTGCAGGTCTACAATACTTTTCCTGGTGTCCTTCGAAAGCTCTTTGGTCTTGGCCATGGCGGAGTTTGGAGTCTGACTGTTTGAGGCTGTGGACAGGTGTCTTTTATACAGATGATGAGTTCAAACAGGTGCCATTCATACAGGTAACGAGTGGGGGACAGAAAAGCTTCTTACAGAAGACGTTACAGGTCTGTGAGAGCCAGAGATTTTCCTTGTTTGAGGTGACCAAATACTTATTTTCCACCCTAATTTACGAATAAATTCTTTACAAATCCTACCATGTGGAATTCATGGATTTTTTTTTCACATTCTGTCTCTCACAGTTGAAGTGTACCTCTCATTACTCACTGTATATACTTAGTTGTTATTTTCCTTTTGTTCAGTTTAGTTCCATTTATGATTTTTTTTCTGTTATCAGTTGGGTTAAATACATTGTGAACATTACCAATAAACCTACCAGTACAATATCAGCATAACTAAATTAGGAGCCTAAGCATGCTCCAAAATATTTTGAATGTAGGTACAAATATATCTGTCCTGATGGTATTTCCAGGTCCAGCAGAACATCATGCTACAAGCTAAGCAGCCTACTCAGCCTCAGCCTCAAATCACCACTCAGTTTAGTTCCCAGCAAGATGTGCCTCTTGATAAAGTGGTGATTGCATCATCATCAGCCAGCACTGGTACACCTGCTCAGCTACCCTCAATGCTGCAGCCGACATCAGTGCTTGTCAAAACTCCTACAGGTTAGACATTAATTATTGTCAGTGATGCAAAACAGACGTTGAAGTGTTTCCTTTTGTAATTATCTTTATTCTTTATTGCTAGCATCAAGTGACTTACAGGTATTCTCAGGAGCCCAAGGGCAAGCTGGAGCAATGGTGAATCAGACTGTCACTCCTGCCAGCCTTACCCAGCCTGCACAGGTATGTAATATAACCCAATTCCCAGTAAGAACATATGTGTGGTATTTGCCTGGCGTTATTTTGTGCTGCTCTAACACCTTTGTCAGTGAATATAAAATTTAACAGGGATAGTATTTTCCCAATACATTCCTTTTGTATGTTTTGTCACTTTCTGCTTTTAAATTTCGCTCTTGTTTTCCTTTCTCAGGTTCAGCCAAAGCCAGGAGTGATAAGCTCTGTTGGAGGGGTGACTCTGGGGAAAGGTGGCATGCAGATACAGGTGTTGGGAGCTAGTCTGACTCAAATGCCTGCTCCACAGCCCCCAGCTTCAATACAAGCTCAGGTAAATGAGTGTTGCTACATGTTTGTACTGCCTCTGGTATTTAAGTTTTAGTATGAAGGGTTTTAACCCTTACACTTTATATTTGTTTGTTCCTGTTACAGACAACAACAATAATGAAAATGCCTTTCAGCGCAGAGCCCAGTAAAGAAGCCAGGTATGTTCCATGGTAATTTTCCAGGGCTTCTTTTAATTGATTCTTAAAAGCCATATTTGTGAACAGTATTAATTTTACACACTTCACTGCAGGATGCTAGAACAGCTAAGGAAACATCAGGGTTCAGTGCTTCACCCAAACTACAGTGCCCCTTTCTGCTCATTTGAGGACACACTGCACAGACTCCTGCCTTACCATCTCTACCAGGGAACTGCCAACTCTTCTCAAGATTATCAAAGAGGTAACAAATTGCCTCTTTTGTAAAGCTACCAATAGGGATGGGTATCGTTTAGGTTTTATCCGATACCAGTACCAAACCGGTACTTTTGAAATGGTGCCGGTGCTTAAACGGTGCTCAAACCGGTGCTTAAAGAATGGAGAACACAAAATTGGTCCAAAAACCTCTCATGTTCAGCTGTTTGTAAAAAGATAATAATGTTAGCCTTTTCTGCAGCTATGGGGCATATATGGTATCACTCTTGGCTGGAAGCAGTGCTTAAACAATGGAAAAAACACAAACTTTGTCCAAAAACCTCTCATGTTTAGCTGTTTTCCACTTTTTCTTTGGTCATTTTAGCCTTTTTGGCCAGGGTGAAGGGAGTATCTGCCATCAAAAAAGAAGACAGCCGCATGTAACTACGACGGTGTTTGCTAGTTCACCTTACATGCATTAATTTAATAACATGGTTAGCCTACTCAACGTAAATTACACACGAACAACATTAAGCTACTCACGCAGAGAAGAACGGCTGCTGCTGCCATCATCATCATCCGTCATCATTTCTGCTACACTGGCAGGGCTAGGGGCCAGGACTCTCCTCTTCGGGTTTTTGGGGGATGTTGCTAACTCCGGGTCCGATAACAGGCAACCCACCCGCAGTAGATGTGCACGGTGTGAGGTCTCGCAGCAAGCTATCAAATACGGCGCATTTCTCGGCTTTTAACAAAATGCTATACGTCGCCAGGTGTTTCATCGGATTTGAGGTGTTACCTCCTTTGACAGTATCACAGTATCACCTTAAAGCACTTGTTGCAGGCTGCTGAGTTTGCATCTTTTGCTGTGAAGTACAGCCAGACTTTTGACCGCTTCGCCTTGGGCATTTTTAATCTGTAGCTCTGCTCTAAAAGAACTTGCGTACCTGGACCCGCCTACTATCCTCAGAAACGTAAAATGATTGGCTAGAATCCAAAGTGTATGACATCTCAGAAAAAAAAGCACCGAAATGTGCGCTGCTTTTCGGTCTGGTTACTACCGTTTATGTCAGAACCGCTGCCATCGTGGCACCGGATATCGGTACCCATCCCTAGCTACCAATGTATTGCTTGATTTATAGTTGAGAATTTTCAACAATTTGGTTCTCTTTTACACAGTGGATGATGAATTTGAGAAGGTCTCCAGCCAGCTGCTGAAAAGAACTCAGGCCATGCTGGATAAATATCGTTACCTGCTCTTTGCAGAGTCAAAAGTAAGTTTATAAATCAGCATGTTCACTGCAAGCATTCTTAGTGCGTTTTTGTCCTGAATTGATTTTAAAAGTGATGCTGTTTGGCATATGAACATGAGCAGAGACTGGGCCCCTCGGCAGAGATGGTGATGATCGACCGGATGTTCATTCAAGAGGAGAAGGTTGCATTAAACCAGGACAAGATTTTGGCAAAGGAGAGGCCAGGTATTTTACCACTGTCTGTGGTTATTAAATTATTAATAAATAATTTAAAAAATTATTAATAAAATTTTGTAGGTATTCAAAAATAAAGAAGGTGTGTTTTAATTATACATTTGTTTATTTACTTGCAGAAGAGTTTGTGGCAAATGTGCGAATGTTGGAGAGTGTTTCATCCCAGCAGAAATTATCATCTGCTGAACCCACCCCAGTGAGCGGAGGGGTATCTGCTGCTGTCCCTGCTCCAGCGCCTGCTGTTGCTGTTGCTGCTGCTCCTGCTCCTGCTGCCATCCCATCCCCTGTTCCAATCATTGCCCCAAACCCTCTGCCTGCACCCACACCAGTTTCTGCTCCTGCTCCTTCTCCTGTCTCAGTTCCTTCTGCGGCCCCTTCTCTTTCCCCTTTCCCTCCTACCAAGCTCGTGATAAAGCAGGGTGGAGGCAGTGCATCTGTGTCCTGGTCCAGTAGCTGTCCTCCTCCTCCAGCTCCACCAGTCAAGCCAGTGGCTGAACCCACTAGCCAGATCTCTACAGTTCGTACTCCAGCATCGTCATCCTCATTTTCATCCTCGACATCAAACTCTCAAACGGCTGATGACGATGATGCTCTTCCACAGCGAACGAGCAAACCGCCTATCAAGACCTATGAGGCTCGCAGGAGAATTGGTTTGAAGCTAAAGATCAAGCAGGATCAAACGGGGTTCAGTAAGGTGGTCCACAACACTGCCTTAGACCCAGTGCACACACCTCAACCTCAGCTGAGCAGCCAGTCTATGTCCCAGACTCAGCCGCAGTCTGAAGCTGCTGTATCACAAGCGAAGGTTCACCCTTTATCAACCCCTTCGGCCACGGTTATCAGAACTCAGTCCCCTGTATGCACTACTTCGTCTGGCTTGTCAGTCACAATATCAACCTCTCAGTGTAACCCATCACTGAGAGGAAGTGTTCCCCCCATTTCAGCCTCATCTTCCTCCACCTCTTCATCCCATACTTGGTCTTCATCCACCTCCTCATCTTCCATTCAAATGAATGGGACTTTGGATCACCACGACACAGGTGGGGTCAAACACCACCCTGCCTCTACTGCCACTTCCTCACAGACAACTTGCCGTCTTCCCCTTCGAAAAACTTACCGGGAAAACATTAGTCCTCGGGTCAGACCTGGTGTCCCAGGTGGAGGAGATGAAAATTTGTCCTACCCCAGAACCACACCATCACCCCCCAGACACGAGGCCTCAAATCCTCCCTCAGAGCGGACAGTGATAGCAAGTGTGAAGGTAGAGAAGAGAGACAGGGAGGCTTTACTCACTCACACAGATTCAAGCCACGAAACTGGCCGTTTGGGGAGTGCAGTGCAGGGGCTGGACGAAATGGATGTGTTTAGTCGTGGTATCAAAACCACGCAACACCATCATCTCCCACAGCTTCTAGACAGAGAAGGGGCCAAGGAGAGAGGGGAAGAGCACACAGACCAAGAGACAGATGTAAGTAAATATAAGAGGTTGAGTGGAAAAAATCGACATAAGGCAGGAGGAACATTCAGAATGGACCAGCATGCCCCTGGGCCCCCGTCGCCAGAGTCTTCCTTCACACGAGACTCTTTGCTTCCTGCCAAACGCTGCAAGTCAGACTCTCCTGACATGGATAACGCCAGCTTCTCCAGCGGCAGCCCTCCAGATGACTCACTGAATGAGCATCTGCAGTGCGCCATTGACAGCATCCTTAATCTGCAGCAGGAACCCTCTACCCGCGGACACCATATTAAAGGGGGCAACAGCAGACCCCACCAACACCAAAGTCAGCGCCCTGGGGGCTCAGCGCCCTCATCACACAGACCTTCAGTCCCATCCTCTTCCTCTGCTTCTTCGTCCTCTTCCTTGGCCCAGCACCCTCAGGTTGGTGGCCGCGGCCACAACGGCAGCCTGGTGCCCCAGACTCAAAGTAGATAACAGCCCCTCAGCCTCGGACTCACAAGGGGAACTATGAAACAGTTTAACGAGGCAGGGGAAAGGGGCACTGTGAAAACAGTATCACTGTAGTACTCTGCCAGGCTGTGTTGGCTTTGTTTGTTTATTTGAATTGTCCAAACATTTCTTTGTCATTTACAGTCTAAAGTTGCCCCATGATGGAAATACAAACATAGTCAAAAATGGTGAATTGCAGACTTGAACATGCTCGACAGATGTGCTCCCTCAGCCAAATTCGAGTAACAAGATGAAATTGTCAGTGACTATTGTTCTCTAATTCTGTCTTTATTTTTCACTTTGGTCTTTTTTTTTTTCCCTCATTCACTTGTTCATACATTCCTTTCATGTGGTCTGAGCACCAGTCTCTGTCCACAGCGGTTCATCTTCTGGTTTAATCAGTGTCGTAATGAGCATCAGGCATCTTATTCAAACAGTTTAAAAGGTAACAGCTTTTCACTAAGAGAGCTGCAGAAGAAAGGCCAAAGAGGTTACAGCAGTGTAGTACTGTAAACAGTCATAATACATCCAGTGTGCTGCTGGACCTACCATATTTGATTCTCTTATCACAAAGATAGTGTTGCTCCAGAGATGCAAACAACAAATGCTAAAATGAAGCAGTCCAACTCTTTATCAAGACCACGCTTCTTTATGTAGTGTATTAACCCTAAATATCAGTTGCTTTGGTCTTAAGGTAAACTCCTCTTGAATTGAAAAAAGTGAGTACCATCAACCTCTGTGTGTCTCCATTTTAAACAGATATCATGTCTTTTTTTCTTTTCTTATTTTAAGTAAATGTTAAGGGGAAAAAATTAAACGTTTGTAAAATTGGTTTGAAATTGACTGCTCAGATGCTGTTGTACTGTCAGGATGTAAATGAACTTGTAAGAAATGCATTTTTTCTGCTTCTATTGTCAGATGATTTTCCAGTTTCTTGTTTTTAGACTGCACCTCCACTCACCCCCTGTTGCCTGTGATGCCAGGTTAGGACTTTATGCATTTCAGTCAGCAGGGGTCAGGCAAGGTTTCTGTGTTTTCTGTCTTTTGGATCTTCCTGTCACTGTATGCCTGCCTCACTTGAGTTTTTGTTTTTGTTTTTGTTTGTTTGTTTTTATTTCCCCCCCTTTGTATAAGCCTGGTGGACAATTCAAACACAAACACAGCACAAGCATTGAAATTGAAAAAAAGGAACAATAATAATGTACAAAAAAGACCGTGAGAGAATTTGAAGTATAGTATTACAGATTAATTTTGTATTGTATTTATTGTGTATAATGACACTTTTTAAAAAGAAAATGTACATTTAGTAAAACTGTAAATTAAACCTTGCTTCTTTTATGAAATATTGCAGCGTCCTGTCCTCTGCTCTTTTATTCCTCAACTCTGTTCCACCACTCGAGGCTGCATTCCTTTCGTTTACTAACGCTGACCGAGGAGGACTGTATGATAGTCAGGAGGAGGAGATGGTGGTAATGGTTTCAGCACTGGGGTGTGTTCTCTATCAGACAGTCAGCAGGTGGTGCATAGAAGTGAAATCATAGAGCTGGTTTGTATGCGTCATTGCTTGGAGAATCCGCAGAATTTGGAAAGAATAAGTCATTTTTACATGGGGGGTGGGGGACTAGCATGTCTAAATCTAAGGCATGTGATTATACTGAAATACAACTATTGTAAAACAAGGAGTTTCCAAGGTATAGTCAAAAGATTGCAGAGTGAAGTTGTATATATTTAAAATGTGCATAAGGACTGTGGGAGGTTTTGTCCTTTTTTTTTTTTTTTTTTTAAAAAAAAGCAACTCCACCCAAATTATTTATTCGCAACCCCCTCCTCCAGTCCACGCCCTCTAGCCACGACTTAGTTCATCCTTGCCCTGAGTAGAGTGTTAATGCTGCCCACATATTGCCAGGCATCCCTGGAAGAGGAGGTGTATTAAACTTAGAGAAGCAAGCAAGGAGAGAGAGAAAGAAAAAAAAATCCTCGGTGTGGTGCGCCTGTGTGTCTGAGTGTTTGCCTTGGGTATTTTCAGCAAGCAGATTGGGAACCCTTTCCAGATGATCTGAAGCTCATCTGAAACACATTAAACCCAGGAGAAGAACGATCCTCTAATTCAGCTGCATTGACGCTCCACTGAGGGTTCCTATTTGCTGTGAGAGGTACACCCATACATGTAGCTGCAGCTCCCCAAGAGACTGTTTTCATCTCCTTAAGCCAAAATATTTTCCAGGCTCCAGAGGGCAAGATTGGAGAGCTGGAGGGAACTCCCTGAAGAAGCCTGCATAATAACTTGGTAAATACTCCTTTTAAACTTTAAATGTGGCAGTAATGATTGGCTTGCATTTTAACTGAAAATATGTAGCTGTAATTGTAAAGTAGAGGGAAAACTAAGCTTTGATTTGGTATATAATGAGTGCAACAATTTATAAAGTAGCTAAATAACTTTCTGTATAGGCTTCTGATATTTTTCACTCCCCTGATACTTGCTGCTCTTGCACATTTCAATGTTACTTTCCATGTTCCAGGTCCAAAATTTTGTTGCAATTCCGGTGTGCAAACCCACGAGGCATTTTCCTTCATCCTTAAACATTATAAACGGATCCCAAAGCCTAAACCAGCTTTTTGATTTTCACAGTGAGACCATAAATCCACGTTTACTCGTACAGCTTGGCCGCAGCAGAGCTTTTGTATATAATGGCTACATTTAATGCCTCTCCATTAGATCTCCAGGGTTCGCCATTTTGACAAGAGGGCTTTCCACACTGGTCTTATGACATGTCAGGACTGTGATTACTGTTTTCCTCGGGGGGAGATTTTTTAATATCCTAGTTTAAATTGGATTTGCAAGAGAAGCTCTTCACAGATGAGCTAACATCTGTTGACATGTGTCTTGCCTATCTTCCTTAATGTCAGTCTCTTTCTATAATGAGTTATGCCTTTGACTCTTAATCCAGGGTTTCTGTTTATATAGACTGCTGTAAAAAGATAATTACTCAAGGGTTACATTTGTTTTTCCATGAGAACACTATCTCTATGATGTTAGAACACTAACTATGTCTCCTTGTATGAGCAGTCTGTGCACGAATTACATGTTCCACTTAGGGGAACTGCAGCAGATAAAAGAATGTCTTACTCATTTCACTGTAAAGGCATGAGCTGTGCCTGAGCAAATCCTGATGCAGGGCTGGGTTTGCAAGTTTTCCAACATGAACACCAACTTTTTCCAGGCATCCACTGAAAATGCTTGGCAGACTGAGGGTCGGCTGAAGTTTGCTTTAGATTCCACATTGTTACTCTAGAATGTGGCAGACTTTGATCAAGCACACACAGGTTTCTTTTGGGATGTGGAGTTATCTCTTTTTTTCTGTTTAATTAAACCTCTACCTGCCTCATTTTCTCTCTGCGTTTCAGGATCTAAAGGTTTCAGTGTGTTGACTCAAAGGAGAAACTCCCAACTTTAAACTAAACACCAGCCCTATCGTTTCTCTAAGTGTGTGCAGAGAAGGGCTCAAGGACAAGTGAGCAGCATTCGTATAAATACAGGAAACACCTGAAGGTTTTTCCAAGGCTTGGCCACAGGAAATATAACTCCAAGCAACTGATATAACTCTGACACTGATTTTTGCAAGAAGCTCTCTATCCTCTTGTCAATCAATATGTCACGCTGGGGAAGAAAGAATGTGAAGAAGGCGCCTGAGGTGATCCACACTGTGACAGAGGGACTGAAGTCCCTGTACCGCGAGAAACTGCTGCCTCTGGAGCAGTACTATGGATTCCATGACTTCCATTCTCCTAGTTTGGAGGATGCAGATTTTGACAATAAGCCTATGGTGCTAGTTGTTGGACAGTACTCCACTGGAAAAACAACATTCATCAAGTAAGACACTACAATGCTATGGTATACATTTGCCCATTCTTATATCTCCTGAGTATTTCTACTTTATTTAAGTGACAGCAAATATAAACAAACAAAAAAACAAAACAAACTACAAGCTTTTTGTCTGATTTACAGGTATCTGCTGGAGCAGGATATTCCTGGGAGCAGGATAGGTCCTGAACCCACCACTGACTGCTTCACTGCCATCATGCATGGGGACGTGGAGTCAGTCATCCCAGGGAATGCCCTTATTGTAGACCCTAACAAGCCTTTCCGCAAACTCAATCCATTTGGAAACACCTTTCTCAACAGGTGAGAATCTGGCTTTTATTCACAGTGCGTTGTGATTTTTTTCCCCACTAAGCGAGACAGTTACATTTTAGCATGAAATAGGCAGAACAGGTGAGAGAACTCATCGAGGGAAAACAGAGAAGGAGATATTAAGATTACAGAGAGTGTTTTAGCTCTGGAATTTCAAGCGCTTGTGCCAAATTTCAGAGGAGGAGGCACTTGCCTTATTTGTGGAAAAATGGTGAAACAGAGCGATATCACCCAAGAGGGTGATGAAAGTTCATGTACTCAGGCAGGAACTGCAATGTATTAAAGTTGAAAACTAAGGTTAGTGGGGTCTACAGCCTCTTAGGGTAAAGAGAAACACAGAAGTCACAGACTGTGGAGGGACTGGAGAAACTGTAGGACAAACGTGACGTTTATTCCTGTCATGTTTACTGCCCAAGCTGATGTTTTTCCACTGTTGTTAGCCAAGGAAGAAGTTACGTCTTACAGTGAAGTGAGGTACTAGAGGCATAGCCACGCAGGCCAGAAGTGACAGGAACTTAGAGTGCTTCTGTTAATGGGCTCCATCATGACATTCTGGTGCAAGTTTTCCAAGCATGCGTTCCTGTCTCCCTCAGCAGGGTATGTTTGAGAATGTATTTGCGTCTCTCCTTTTGCGTTGACTTCCTGTTCTAGGAACCAGTGGGCTCGTTAAGCCCATAAGCTGCAGGAAGCAGTGGTGTTGTTCTAAGCCCCACATCGTTAGCAGGCCTTATTGTTTGATTCTGGCAGTAATGGTCATTTTCCTTCAGGAAGCCCAGAGCAAAAGAGGCCTGCTTGCACACAATGGCCTTCAGTGGGAGGGACAGGGTGTGTGGACAGAGTGGCTTTCAATCTGCTCCTGAGATCGCTCTGGCTTTTTTTGATAAGAATTGACTATTTCCACATAATTTAGACTCCTAAACAATGTTATGTCATTCTTTGTTTGCTGATGAATATGCTAGATTCCAGTGTGCCCAAATGCCTAACCAGGTTCTGGAGAGCATCAGCATTATTGACACACCAGGGATCCTGTCTGGTGCCAAACAGAGAGTGAGCCGAGGTGAGGGAAAAGGCAAAGGTGAGGAGAGGGCATGGGGGGCCTGCAGAGACACACGTCCTTGAACATCAGCTCACAAACTCATCTCCTTGGCACGCCTGGCTAACTCATGGGACCAGTATGCTCTGTTGCAATGACATTTGGCAGCAGAGATAAAAAAAACATCTCTGCAGTACACAGCAGCCATAAAATCATAATAAGGAACAGAAACAGTGCAGTCAATTCTGCGAGCACATCTGGAAGAATGTACTGTTGAGCATTAACTATCACAATCACCTCACACCATTTTGTTTTTTTCTAATTTAATATTCACTCATGCTCCAAGCAAACCATTATTCCAATCAATCTGCATGAGCAACTAACAAGTTTAAAGTGTCAGTATACCCAAATTATGAAAACATATTTCCTTGCTTACCGCTGGTGGTATCTAGCCATGTAAACAGTTTTGGTTTGATCACTAGAATTTTTTAAAATATTCATCTGCAAGATTTGCTTCTATATCCTAAGAGGATGGAAGTAAATAAGATGTTAAAAGAGAAGTCTCAGTTTCTCACTCAACAAAAAATGGACTGGATTATTCAGAGATACTGAGATGCTCTTTTAAAAGTAGGCTACTACTTTTTTTTTTTTTTTTTTTTTTTTAGCTTTTCTTGTGCTGTGTGTACCACAGTTCAGTTATCAAAAATTTAGAGATGCTTTCTTAAAACCAAAAAAGATAAAAACCAAAACTGTCTATGTGGCCATCCCACAAAAAGTATGTGGAATGTGTTTTCTTTGGGGGGATTTTGATGAACTTATGATTTAGTAGAATCATGTTGATACAGATCAACCAGTGCCTGAAAAAATATTAACTAATTTATTAGACTTTCACTTTCATACATTAAGTCAAAGAATTATTTTTCATTATGTCTTGCACAAAAATGAAGCCTCTGTGACCGGAAATTCAGTCTTTGGGATTTTACAGATTATAATCTTTAGGGTTTGTGTCTGTGTTGACCTTCTTCCCTCTCCTGACCCTTGTTTGTTCAATGCATACTCCACATTAAGGTCTACGGATGAATCAGTGATTGCATCTTTTTTGTTTAAACAGGGTATGACTTCCCAGCTGTACTGCGCTGGTTTGCAGAACGTGTGGACCGCATCGTCCTGCTGTTTGATGCTCACAAGCTAGAGATATCCGATGAGTTCTCTGAGGCCATCGGTGCCCTGAAAGGCAACGAAGACAAACTGCGTGTGGTGCTAAACAAAGCAGACATGGTGGGCACCCAGCAGCTGATGCGAGTGTATGGTGCCCTGATGTGGTCCCTGGGGAAGGTATTTGGCACTCCAGAGGTTCTACGTGTCTATATCGGCTCCTTCTGGGCAGAGCCATTGCTGGTAAACGACAACCGTAAGTTGTTTGAGCTGGAGGAGGAGGATCTCTTTGCTGATATTCAAAACCTTCCTCGAAATGCAGCCATACGCAAACTCAATGATCTGGTCAAGAGAGCACGTCTGGTTAGGGTGAGCGAGTTGCATATTTGTTCACGTCTCAGCATGTTTTCATTAAATGATTATTCAGAAAGTCATATTGGTGCACTCTGTGTGTTTTATTTCTCTAAATCCTAGGTCCACGCCCACATCATCAGCCACCTGAAGCAGGAGATGCGTTCTGTCTTCAGGAAGGATAATAAAAAGAAGAATCTGATCTATCAGCTACCAGTTATTTTCTCCAAGATCCAGCTTCAGCACAACATTTCTGCTGGAGACTTTCCAGACTGTGCTAAGATGCAGGTTTGTTTGAAACACTGGCTTTGTTTACAAGCAACTTCTGTTAACTTGTGGTTACAACAGGAAAGTTTATTCTAATGTAACTATTAATCTAAGGACTAACACATTATTCTCATTTTTAAAGGAACAACTGATGGTTCATGATTTCACCAAGTTCAAATCCTTGAAGCCTAATCTGATGGCATCCTTGGATGAGTTGCTCTCCAGTGACATTGCCAAACTGATGCCCCTCCTGAGGCAAGAGGAGCTGGAAGCAGGTGATCAACCAGGTGTGCAGGGTGGTGCCTTCTTGGGGACCCGTGCTGGACCTTTCTCAGAAGGTGACCCCTTTGTTGAGGAAAATGGAGAGGGTTGTGAGGAGGAGGAAGATTGGGTGGTGACCAAAGACAAGCCCAAATATGATGAAATCTTCTACAACCTTGCTCCCAACGAGGGGAAACTAAGCGGCACCAAGGCAAAGGACTGGATGGTGAGCTCCCGCCTGCCCAACTCTGTTCTGGGTCGCATCTGGAAGCTCTCAGATGTCGATCGTGATGGCATGTTGGATGATGAAGAATTTGCCCTGGCCAGCCACCTAATTGAGGTCAAGCTGGAGGGTCATGGTCTTCCCCCTGAGCTTCCCACCCGTCTGATCCCACCCTCCAAACGCAGGCAGAAAGGCTCTGATGCATAGACCATCTACTGGCTGTCACACCTATGCTACTGTTGTATTTGCTCTTATTTTCCTGCAGACCCAAATCTAAACGTTGCATGTTAGGTATGCAACGTTTCCTCTGAGAATGATTATAATCTTGCACAATGAACATGCTGTATTTAAATATAAGTCGACAAACAAGGGCTTTCAGAAAAGGATTGTGTATAAGTCAAAGGATCTGTTTGCTTCTTCCCTTTGACTCCTCAAAGTTGGCTTTTTTATGATGAATATATATTTGCTGAGCAGAAATGAAAGGCTGAGTCTAAGCGAGCAAAAATCTGCATGTACTTTTAAAAACTCCAGAGCAATTTTATTCTTAAAAAAAAACACCTTTTTTAAACATTTTAACATTCCTTCAGTGTCTAGATATTAGAGATTATTTGTAGGAATATGCCTTTTTTCACATGTGATCAGTCCAGTGAAGCATCATTTAGAAATTTATTTTAGACTTATTTTGTTGTGTTTTCAGCATTTTCTTCTCCATGTAACAGAACAATCATGTACAAATCTAATAATCTGAATGCATTTCACTCTGATGCTTTACATGTCACATTTTTGTGCTGAATTTATACATTATTTTGTAAATTGTCGCTGTTTACGTTGTATGTGCAGGATCAGGATCTGCGTTGCATAAAAGAACATTACATTCTCAACTAGACTGAATGAATGCCATGTTACTGACTACTGTACACAGCTCTGCCAACTGTTCTTATGTTAACAACCATTGTAACCAAATAAAACTACCTGACTGTGTCTAATGTCTTTGGTTATTCTTTCATACAAGCAAAAACTTTTGTACAACTTGAAAAGGCTTTTAAACTTAGTTATCAAAATGCCTACAATCTGAAAATAAATAACCTAAAATGGAAGTAATAGCTATGGGGGTTTGATTTGACTCTTTTTTTCAACAACGTTTTGTGTTTTATCAAGCTCACTTGGTCTCTCAGTGACAGACCACATAAACAGTGACTCACAGTCTCCTCTGCCAAGTCCCCATACCACCATTTTCCGAGGCTCTTTCCCTTGTCGTTCCCACCATCTGAAGCCTTTTTTTTCTGCCCCTCGTTCTCTCGCACATACACATGCAGTCTATTTGTACCCCTTCATCCCAGTTTAGTTCTATGTTCACATTCACATTAGCCTCCCAGCACACAGTGTTTGGTTTTGGTGTAAACTATGTGGTATGAGCGTGAATGTGTCCTGTGTAGAGCTGCGTATTTCACATAAGAGTTTCAGGCTTTCCTAAAGAAGGAGTGGCCTCCCCGCCTTCTTTTTCCACTCCTCCATGGAAAGAAACACAAATGAGAAACAGAGGCAATGCAGCCCTTTCCTCGCAGCTCTCCAGCTTACAGTGACTCACATGTGAAGAATGTGGTGGGCTGGACTGGGAGTTATTAATATCTCCTTTCCTAGGGTCTGCTAACTTTCCTCAGGATCTAAACATTGTACCTTTATGAAAGAACTTAAAATTCCCCTTTTGGACTGTTCCCGAGTGAGCCCTGCTGTTTACCACACCCTCTTCTATGTATCTGAGAGAAAAAGTGTGAGGTGATGTGTGTGGAAAAAACAGCTAAATCATCATAAAGACATGCAGTTTCTTGACTAAAAATGCTCTCCTTGTATATTATTAAGTCACAGCTATCAACACCTTCTTAGAGAGTAAAAAAAAAAAATCCCAATAGCAGTTTGAACAGTGCTTGTCTGTTATGTAAATAGTTATTCTGGGTCATAAACCATCTCAAATATTTGGTATTCAAATCAAGCTACCACTGCAACCCTGCAAGCAGCCTAAATTACAGTTGATGACCCCAGCGACGACAAAGATCCCCAACAATGAAGCTTACTCAACAAAACTGGGGTCTCCTTATACGTCACTGATTGTTTATGTGGGGAATTCCTCACTAGGAAACCTGTGGTGGAAGAAAAACTGAGGCCGTCAGCTCTGGAGATGGGGTGACACCTGGTGGATACAGGATTCTTGGCAATCTTATGCTGAAATTGTTCACTGGAGTTCCCAGCTGTAGATGGCAGACTGGAGGCATGCAGCTGTGCACATTGAAGGACATGTTCAGACACGGGAGAAAAAGTGAATCCCTAGTGTGTAGGAAGCCCTACTTGAATTTTAACATTGTTTACAATTTTGGCTTGCAATGTTTATTAAGACAATAACCAAGACAAAACAAATAATTTCCTGCCTTCTGTTTAGGAGTTATGCTCTTGCTGTGTCTCTTACTGAGGGCATGCTATGTATTGCATCTATGCTAAACATCCATATCAAACCAAACACCCACATGATTTTAGCCTCCTTTAAAAGTTCAAACATCTTGCCAGGATGTGGAATATTTAGTTCAGTTCACATGTTTGTTTTTTCGCAGTTAAATTATTAACTGGGACTTTCGTTGTGATGTTTGCATCTTCCCCCTGTTTACACAGGTTTTCTCCAAGTACTCTGGCAAATACAGCAACCAGCAGCTGTGAACGTGTCAGTTAATGCATGTCAATATAAAACTGTTAACTTGGATTTGTCTCTTAACATTTCTGCTTTTTGTAGCTATCCTACATTGAGACACAAACAAGTTTAATAATTTCAAGTTTATTTTTTTATGCAAAAAGGTGAGCAAACAAAATTGAAAACAGCTGTATAAGGTTAGTTTAGCACAAATTACTTTTAATTTTTCCTGCCTATACACGGGACATTAAACTGAGTATGTTAGTGATTCAATCATTAACATGTCAAAAATATTGATGTAGAAATATACAACTTTTTGTAAGAGAAAATCCAACCTTTTGTATTTCTGTATTCTGTATTAAGGAAAAACATTTAGTATGAAAGGTAAAGTTACACTAGCACATATAAGATATAACATATAAAAAGATAGCACAACCACTTAGAGCTCAAGAACTCATTACAGCTTCTTATCAAATGTCAGAAAAATGCAAATGTAATAACGGTGCATTCCATGGAAAATTTGAAATATTTTCCCAACTATACAGAAAAAAACTAGCATTTTTCTGCAGTGCTTAGAAACTAAAATGATTTTTGATGTCTTTGATCTGCTTCATCATGTCACCAATTTGCTGTCCTTGTTCTTTGAGGACATCCTGAACAACCTTCTTCTGGGGAGCGTTGAGGGAAACTGTTGCCCTAGTTCCGGGCATATCCTTGCCCACTTGTGTCTTCTGGTACTCCATCTTCATGTTCACCTGCCTGATGCAGTTTTCCAGGTGTTTCAGTTGATCATTGATGGTCTGCAGCTCCTTCTTCATTTCCTTTTCACTGTTTGACAGTATGGGTAGCTGGCTTTGCAGGCTACACAACACTTTCTTAACCCTGTTCATAATGGTTTCTTGGCGATACTTTGCATCTTCGTATTTATCAGCCAACCTTTCTGCTGCTTCTCTCAAACTCTTCCTCTCCTCCCTGCACAGAGACAAATCCTCCAGCTGCTTGTTCTTCTGGCCTGTCAGGAGTTTCACCCTCCTCTGCATCTCTTCACGAGCCATGTCCTGCTTGAGAATGTACTCCTCGCGGAACACCTGCGTGGCTCTGCTGAGGAGCTCCAGACACTCTGGAGGTGGTGGTGATGTGTCCTTGTCTCCAGCTTTAAGTACAAGAGGATTGGTGGAGCTCCGTGCCAGGATGTTGCGAATGTGCTGCTCAAAGGAGTCTTCGGCCAGCCCACGCAGAGGGGAGCTGGCAGAGCCCAGACCTGGGTGGGAGCAAAGCAGGGGAGGGGAAGGAGGGCGAATGGAGCTCAGAAGGGGTAACAGAATGCACTCGTAAGTGCTGGTGATGCAGATCATGGTGGCGCCCAAGGCAAGGTCAGACACAATCAAAAAACCACGAATTGGAGCCGACTGACTGGTCAGGAGCGGTCTGGTGCAAAGAATGTGCTCTACAATGCAGCGCTTCTCAGCAGCCAGCTCCTGGAGACTGTCCTTATCCTCCTCATCTGATTTAAGGAACCTCTGCAGCTTGTTGACCCAGATTAGCCCCACGCTGTGCACTCCTGCTTCATGGGTGCAATGATACCGGTGCTGACAGAGAGGGTCTCTGTGCAGTTTGATTGGACAGGTGAAATCAAACTCTTGCGGCTCCTCGTCCTCTCCCGTTGCCACTTTAAGTATGAGCTCTAGCTCAACACACTCAAACACATAAAGAGCTGGCACTGTCTCTGTGCCTCGGATCCACTTTTCCACTGCCCCCGTGTCATCCTCTTCTTCAGACTCCAGCACGACACAGTGATACAGTGTGCCAGTTTCTGTGGCGATGACCAAGATACTCGGAACACATGGCAGGCACAGAATGGCACAAGCATCATAGCCATAGTTATCCTCTGCTGCTGGATACATGGGGAGAGGTCCAACGGGTTTACTCAGACTTATACCGTTTACCTGGCTCGTGTAGTTCACATAGGTCTCCCCATTTTCGTAAAGAATATAGAGAGGGTAGACCAGCTGGTCTTTGGGGACCTGTCCTGCCAGCTGCCGAGGAGGGGATGAAATCGGCCCAAAGTCAAACGCCACTGCTATCTCTCCCAGAGAAGCTGCGTACGAATGCACCGGAGGGTCGAGGCTGCTCTCGTCTTCTGACTGCGACACTGGCAGGATTTTGGCCGGTGTCTGCGGAGACTTCAAGCTGTAAAATCTGATCGTGTTGTCTGAAGTGAGCAGCACCATATGTGGCTCGTCAGTCTCGCTAGGGTACCAAGCAGCCTGTCGCAGACTGACCGACGGTGAGCTGGTGAAGAAGCGCTCCGCCACCGGGATGGTCTTGCAGTTGATTTTGCTGCGTCCGCCTTCAAACTCGGACCTCTTGCCCCACCGCAGAGGAAGCTCCAGGACCGAGACGCCTCGTTGACCGACCAGCGCGACATGGTGCTGTGTCGGGCTCACCAGCACCTGGCACACTTCAAAGAGCGGCGGGTTGATGCACAGCAAGGTCTGATACTTCCCGCTACCGGAGCTCTCCTCTGAGTTTAACTGCCGCAGGTTGGTTGTGTAAAACACGCGGTCTGAATCGTCCCACACGAACAAATCCGCTCCCAAACAAAACGTGAGGTTCTTAGCGATCCCTCTTTCACTCGAGGTGCACTCCAAATCCAACTTCTCGCGTATTATTTTGAATATCGTGTGATTCGGTAAGTCATTGAGCCACCGTTCTGAATTGAGTGCCGCCATCTTGATCAACTGTCTGATTTCTGAAGGAAGCAGTAACGTGTTTTGGTTTTTTTCACGACAGTCATTTAACGTCTTACGGTGGCCGGTGTCGTATATTTTGCAGCATCACCATGGCGCTGAAAGAGACCGCTGGGCTGTATGAGACACTTAAAGCGGAGTGGAACAAGAAAAATCCAAACCTAAACAAATGTGGAGACCTTCTGAGCAAGCTTAAGGTAAAGTCGCACATTTGCTTGTCCAGGGTTGATTGTAGGAAGGAAGTCTTTCTATTTGTAAACGTTAGCACTGTTAGCAAACAGATTGCTAACTTACGCTAGCCCAGCTAACGCTGTACGTTAACGTCAGTAACTGGATAAACACCGATAATGAAATTAATTTTGGTTGAATAGTGTAGAGTTTTCACTTGCTAACTACAAACCAATGTTTGGAGAGGGATCGAACAATATCATCATTTTAGGATAATGATGAAACAAATGATTAACTTAGTCAATGAAAGCTAACGTCACTGTACCTTTCGTTAGCTCAGTTTTCTGTTTGGCAAGTTTAAGCCGAGTTGAAAGAGGTATCACTAAAAAGAAGAACCTTTTTTTCTTTTCTTTTTTTTTTTAAAGTGACTCGTGATAAGGACATCGGCAAAGATGTTTTTCGTATTCAAAAATTGTTCGTATATACAACCAGTTTTGCAAGGCAAAGTCAGTCAAATCTGTTATATTTCTATTAAGAAGCAACCATTATGAAAGTTAATATTAGCCTATATATAAAATACACCTATTCAATTCAATCAATTCCACGTTTGGTACAGCCACTTGGAGATAAAGAGCTCATTGCAGCTTCTTGTTAAATGACAAAAAATACAAATGTAATAACCAAGTGCATTCCAAGGGGAATCTGAAACGTTCCCCCTAACTATACACAACTAGCATTCTCTTCAATGCTTAAAAACAAAAAGGATTCTTGATATCTTTGGTTTGGTTCATCATGTCACCAGTTTGCTGTCCTTGTTTACTAAGGACATCCTATTGGACAACTGCCTTCTGGTGGGTATAAATGATAATGTTGGGGAAATTTCACATTCACAAAATAAGATGGACCATGTCCAAGTCAAGCTTTATTCATTTTTTAAATTAGGAACTATTACTATTACAACACGGCACTATAGTTAAGATCTTGAAAAGGGAAAAAAACTGTTACAATAAAATATAACTTTGATAAATTAGATTGTTAATGCTTGTTACAGCTTTTTCCTCTGTATCTTGTGTACCTTTTTTCTTGTGATATAACCCTGGCATTGAGATGCTCTGTATATGTAATTGTTATTTTTTAAAAACAGAGTTTGACTGGGAAATGAAAGAAAAAAGTTTCAACAGGAGTCTGACATCAAAATAAATGTTTTATAAGGTTGTCTAGGTTGTTAGAACTCAATGAAAACCAACTTTGGGGTTTGTTCTGTTACAAATGATGTGGTGTAATTTAGATTTACATTGTTACATTTATCTTTTCTTTTTAAACAGATTTCATTGTTGGATCTGAACTTTTTACCTACCGGTGGATCCTCTCTCACCAAGCAGCAGCTCATTTTAGCTCGTGAGTACCTGCAAATCAAGCTGCCACAAGTTAACACAACAGCTTTTTAAGTTACTTGCAAAATAATTTCTAAGTACAATTTATGTTTGTATTTTAGGTGATGTACTTGAAATAGGAGCCTTATGGAGCATCCTCAAGAAGGACATCCCATCCTTTGAGCGATACATGGCCCAGCTAAAATGTTACTACTTTGATTACAAGTAAATGCCACTTTCTCTTAGAGAATTTGTTGCCCAAGATTGAGGTCTTTTTGTAACTGAAGTAATTATTTACATCTTTTTCTTTTTTAGGGAAGAGCTGCCTGAAGCTGCTTACATGCATCAGTTACTTGGACTGAACCTGCTCTTCCTGCTTTCGCAGAATCGCGTGTCTGAGTTTCACACAGAACTCGAAAGATTGAGTGCTAGAGATATTCAGACCAACGTGTACATCAGACACCCAGTGTCTCTAGAGCAGGTGCTATAGCTTACTTATGGACAATGCCTGATTTTGATTTGGAAGATTTTTATTGTGTAATATCAGGTGTTAAAGAAAAAAAAAACAATTTGTGTGTCCAATCGGAAATTTGTACCCTTAAATTGCTCAAAATTAGTGATGTAAGGTTCCAGTTAATTATATATATATATATATATTATATATATTATATATATATATATATATATATATATATATTATATATATATATATATATTATATCATTATAATATATATATATATATATATATATATATTAATTTAATATTATATATATATATATATATATATTATATATATATATTAATATTAATAATATAATATTAATATTATTTTTAACCAGTCAGCTGGGATGAAGCACTAATATCATTAGTGGCAGACTAGCATTAGTGTTAACTTGAAATTATAGAAGCTACATTTGTAAAATAGTTTTGATCCTACAATAGATGTTGCACCAGAGGGTTATGTTTGACTGCTATTTGCAGTAATTCCTTTATATGCTTCACTAAGATTTAATAGATTGCTTTTGGCCTGAGATAGATCGATGTGTGCTCTGATATTTTATACCCATTATGTATTTAAAGGTGTATATATATTAATTTACACAAACTAAATATTTATTTGGACAAATGCTTGGCTTATTGGAGTTTTACTTATACACAATAATTTAAGTCTTGTTATAGTAACTTTGATGTAAATGCAATCTTAATATTTTATTCTCTCTCTGCTAATTTCAGTACTTGATGGAGGGAAGCTACAACAAAGTATTCCTAGCCAAAGGCAACATCCCTGCTGAGAGCTACACCTTTTTTATAGATATTCTTCTGGACACAATTCGGTAAGGACCATAATGATTTCTATGCCTTTTACACATTCTGCATTCGTTGTGAATTTTAAAATATTAATCAGTAGCCTACAACCACATAACAACAGTTAGGTGTGCAAAAGCTATTTTAATCCATTTTACATAGTTACAGCGAATAGTGTAAAGACAACTCAACACAACAAACACAATGATTTATTTTACTCTCATAGTTGTACCAATACTTTAACCTGAGCAAATGTGAAATAGATGGCAGTTTAAACACCTTTTTAAACAACATCTTTCCTGTCTTTGTCTAATTTTTAATGTTTCTTGATTTGTACTGTGAACTCTGGGGGGAAAAAAAACAACTTCATTTCACTGTGTTGTGCCATAATAAAGTAGAAATGTATAAAACGTCATTAAAAATACAACTCTGTCCTTTGACGATGACTTTAACTAAAGCTGACCTTTTCAATTGCAGCGACGAGATTGCAGGTTGCATAGAGAAGGCGTATGAGCAGATCCAGTTCAGTGAAGCTACCCGTGTGCTTTTCTTCAGTTCCCCCAAAAAGATGACAGATTATGCCAAGAAGGTAAGTCTGTTTTCATTTGGGAATCAAGCCTGTAGTCAAATCCAGATATTATGAGGAGGAGACATTAGATTCCTGCTGTGATAACATGATTTAAAGAAATTAAGTTCCTGCTTAACTCTGTTGCTTCTGCTTATGCAAATGCTTATTAAGATTTATTAGGTAAACACTGGCTGTCAGGTGGCCTTGGTGCCTGAAATATTTATTTAAAGTCTAAGTTGGTTCTTAATCAACGTGTTATGTTGTAGATGTCATTATGATTGGATATAGGAAGGGGAGTTGTCAGAAACTGGCTTGTTAATATACAGAAAATGTCCCTCCAGATGTTAGATAAAATTTGTGCATAGGCAGAACCTGAAAAATAAGTAATATCCATAACGATTAACATCACATGGAAAAGATACATTTTACTGTTTGTCTTCAGATGTTCCTTAACAAGTTGTCCATAATTAAAATAAAAATCCTTCCTAGATTATTGCATATAATAAGTCAAATAACTACATAAGCAATCTGTAACTGTTGATTTTCATTTTATTTTTTATTTGTTTAAATGAATACATTTCCCCCCATTTCAGAGAGGATGGAATTTGAGTGCAGATGGCTATTACTCTTTCACCAATCAGCAACAGCGGACAGAAGAGGTGAACATCCCTTCTACTGAGCTGGCACAACAGGTCATCGAATACGCACGACAGCTGGAAATGATTGTGTAATCCGCCCCCAGGAACACACTCAACCATGTACAGATGCACTCAGACAAACACGCCACTGGTCCAGTATACATCCAGTCAGCTCAAACACAGTTTCACTAAGGGATATGACTTCCTTTATTGCCAGAGTGGTTTATTTGTTTCCTATGCCTCACAAATCAACTGGCATCCATTATTCCTGTTTTCCCAAATCTACCTGGAAGTCTGACAGATTGGTTTTTATTTTAATACAAAACCCCCCACTGAAAATATCACCTTTGGTCTAATTAGCAGTTGCTATATAAATATCTATATTGCAGACATGTGAGAGTCTGAGTGTTTAAAGCTGGTTCTTTTATTCAAAAAACCATCTGTCCAACGTTAAACTTTAATTTTCTTTAGTCATTCCCAGATATTTCTTTTAAACACTGGGTCTCTTCTTTTTCAACTGTAAGAAAATTTAAAGTCATCACCCTAATTTTGGTATTCAGTGTCAAACAACTCACCATTTTTTTTTCCTGAACTTCAAATTCTTTTTGTACCAAAGTTTTCTCTCCTGGGTAGAACAAAAATAAATGTATTGCCCTTGCCTTGTATCTAAAATTGCCACTGAAGTTTGTGTTTGACTCTTCCTCACTAGACATTTTGTAAACACATTGATCTACAATAAATGATTCATAAAACAAACTTTTTGCATGTTAGTGTTGTGTTCTTTATACATGTCTAACTTTCCCCAGAATTAAGCCACTGATAGCAGCTCAATAGTAATGCCTTCTTTCATTGGTCAGTGTCTTTTCTAGTCTCTTTCAATGTTGAGTAAGCTGGATGCAGCTGGTGCATTTGGAAGTGGAATCAAAAATAGAATTACTGATTATTAACCAATGGTACAAAGGAAAATATAAGGAAGGGTAAAATGCTTGAACTTTCATCTTAAGGGTAAGATTGAGTCCTAGTTACGATCACATAGTTATTCAGATTTTTATTAATGATAGCCAGATTCCTTATGTTGAACGTATACTATACCATACCATACCACATGTCTCCTGTGCACTTCTTTTTCTTTGGGTGCTAAGCATGTTTTGGTTATTCTGACATGCCAGAGGTGGTGTTGGATATCTGACTTCAGAGCACCCAGCAACTGGTGATGATGCAATTGAAATAAATATCCATTCAGTTATTCATTATCCCTTTCTGCAATTATGAAAAAAGATTTAAAAAAGACTATTTTTCTTTTAGGGCAGCACGGTGGCACGGTGGTTAACACTGTTGCCGCACAGCAAGAAGGTCCTGAGTTCAATTCCACCATCAGGCCGGGGTCTTTCTGTGTGGAGTTTGCATGTTCTCCCCGTGTCTGCGTGGGTTCTCTCTGGGTACTCCGGCTTCCTCCCACCGTCCAAAGACATGCAGCTTGTGGGGATAGGTTAATTGGATAATCCAAATTGTCACTAGGTGTGAATGTGAGTGTGAATGGTTGTCTGTCCCTATGTGTTAGCCCTGCGACAGACTGGCGACCTGTCCAGGGTGTACTCCGCCTTTCGCCCTATGACAGCTGGGATAGGCTCCAGCGCCCCCCGCGACCCTGAAAAGGATAAGCGGAAGCGAATGGATGGATATTTTTCTTTTATTTGTGGTATGTTGTTTTAGTTTCATTGTACAACTCCTTTAATCCACGATTGTTGGGTTTTTTTGGTTGCTTGTTTTTAAGAGATGTGAATTGCACTTGGAGCTGATGCAGCTTGTGGGATTTGTGTTACTGGGTCACAGTCTTGTGAATCTTTTCATTGCTTCAGAGGGGCAAACTAAATGGTAAATGGCCTGTATTTGTATAGCGCTTTACACAACCAGTCATTCACACGCTGGTGATGGCAAGCTACATTGTAGCTACAGCCACCCTGGGGCGCACTGACAGAGGCGAGGCTGCCGGACACTGGCACCACCGGGCCCTCTGACCACCACCAGTAGGCAATGGGTGAAATGTCTTGCCCAAGGACACAATGACCGAGACTGTCCAAGCCGGGACTCGAACCGGCAACCTTCTGATAACAAGGCAAACTCCCAACTCTTGAGCCACAATCGCTCAGGAATTGAGTCCATCAATCTGTGTATTGTTTCACTGCCATTGCTGGGTTTCATTTGATTTATACTTATTTTCCTGATTGTATTAATTTGTAGGCCATTTAAGCAAATTAAGGTGTTATGTGGCCAGGTAGAGGTTTGTAAGAGCATTGTGAATAAGATATGTAAGATTTGAATCATTAGTAATATTTTGTGTATTCAAATAACCTTAAAATGACAGATTAACCAAAAAACAAAACAAAAATAAACTGGTTTCACGGTGGAAGTTTAGTTTTTTGAGTACTTGGATGTGTAATGACGCTGCCATGTTTTGTCATTGCCTTACACTTACCGGCCACTTTTTAAGTTACACCCGTTTGAATGATGCGACATTTGTATTAAAAATCAATCTGTTCAATCCTTTAGGCATGGTTAAGATGACTTGCTGAAGTTCAAAATGAGCATCAGTATGGGGAGGAAAGGTGATTTAACTCACCTTTAATTAACTTGAGTGGTTAGGTATGGTTCTTGCTGTTGGTGAGTGTCTTAGAAACTGCTGATCTACTGGGAAATTCTCACATCCATCTCCTGGTCACAGGAAAATGGCAAGACTCCTTCAAACTGCGAAGAAAGGAAACATTTTTTTAAGAAAGGAAACAGTAACTAAAATAACCAATAACCAGTTGCAACCAAGGTATGCGAAACAGCAAAAGGGCTACAGCAGTAGAAGACCACACAGGGTACCACTTTGGTCAGCTAAGAACGAAACGGTTCTAATTCCACAAGTCGCCAATAGGATAATCCAAGAGTCAAAAAATGTTTTGTGGTCTGATGAGTCTCAATTTCTGCTGCAACATTTGGGGTCAGAATTTAGCATAAAGGACATGAAGTGTGGATTCATCCTGCATTGAATCAGTAGCTTAGACTGCTTCTAGTGGTTTAATAGCGTGGGTGATATCTTCTTGACACACCTTGGCCCCTTTAGTACCAACTGAACATCTTTCAAACACTATAGTCGGTCTTAATATTGTTGCTGTCCACCTTTTTGTTACTAAAGTGTGCCCATCTTAGCTGCTTTCACAAGCTTAAAATATATCACATTGGTTTGCTGACCATATCAATGTCAGGTTCACTGTGTTGAAATGAACTCCACAGTCACCTGACCTCAATCCAACAGAGAATCTTTGAGAAGTGGTGGAAAAGGGAGATCTACATGATGCATATTGCAGCTGATAAAACTGCAATGCTATTGCATGAATAAATTGAAGTGAAATTGTGGTGTGCCTCTAAACACATGGAGATCATGACATGGTGCTGGACGTCGTTTGGAAAAATGCAGTATGTGATATAGCATATAGTTAGGGCTGGACCAGGTGACCCTGAATCCTCCCTTAGTTATGCTGCAATAGACGTAGGCTGCCGGGGGATTCCCATGATGCATTGAGTTTTTCCTTTCCAGTCACCTTTCTCACTCACTATGTATTAATAGACCTCTCTGCATTGAATTGTACCTGCTATTAATCTCTGTCTCTCTTCCACAGCATGTCTTTATCCTGTTTTCCTTCTCTCAGCCCAACTGGACACGGCAGATGGTCCCGCCTCTCCCTGAGCCTGGTTCTGCCGGAGGTTTCTTCCTGTTAAAATGGAGTTTTTCCTTCCCACTGTCGCCATAGTGCTTGCTCATAGGAGGTCATATGATTGTTGGTTTTTTCTCTGTATCTATTACTGTAGGATCTACTTTACAATATAAAGCGCCTTGAGGCGACTGTTGTTGTGATTTGGCGCTGTATAAATTGAATTGAATTGAATTGAATTGAATTGAATTGATCCACCCCCCAAAATTATAATATCTTAAATATTTGTCTCTGCACTGTTAATACCTGACATTTTGGCGAATAACGAGCTCATATTGTTGTTGTTGTTAGTAGTAGGTTATTGTTACTAAAATGAGTAAATTATGTCAAGGTTTAACATTAAATATGTTTTGGGTTAGCCTATTATCATGGAATATTTTTTCTAAACTAACTTAAAAGTGATGAAGACACATAAAACATAGATTAGTTTGTGATTGCGTCTGAGCCGTTTATTAAGGGACTGTCCGTGGTGCTGAAAACTAACCTTGGGTATTTAAACACAACATCGTCTACAGAACTACAAGAGCGAGACAGACCACTATCACCAAGAGAGTTGGCTTAAAGGGATTAGTTTGGTTACTCTATGGGCTATAATAGTCTACGTCCTTTATCTTGTAAAGTGCCGTGAGATTGTGTTTTTTGCATTTAAAAGAATTGTACATGTTAAAGTTGTGAGAACCTGTGTGTTTAAATCAGGTTATTTTTCTGATGTAACATAACTGAGCTTCAGGGATGAATGAAAAAGTAATCTCTTTCTCAACTTAAGAAAAATTTTCTTTTCACGCTTGATTTCCAAGAATCTGCATTGTCTGGTATGTTGTTGTTAATTCACACTTACTTTTTTTTTTTAATTAAAATGCTAAATGGATTAGAGGGACTGAACGGACAGTAGAAATTTAATTTATAATAAGTGAATTTGATGGACATGGAATAGGTGCACGCTATAATTTTCATTAAAGAGACATTAAAAACACGTGGCAGCAATGCCTATCATTGCCGCTTTACATTACAGTTCTCATTGTGGTATTTCTGCTTTAACTCAAAGCAGTCCAAGGACATTGTGAAGAATTGCAGGAATTTTAACGGAAAGAGACAAAACATAGCTGGGCTACTTTTCTCAAACGTCGTGAGAAAGCAGTCTTTATGAATAGCTACAGTGCAGCATAATTTTTACAAGTGCATTTGGTGTATTTATGGCCTTAGAGTTGAAAACTAAAATGATTAGTGGCCAGAGTGTCATCTATTCACATGGGGTAAATTGTACATTAAAAAAATATGGATATTATGTAACTTATAGGAACATCCATAGTGCTATATATTTTTTCCAAGTTCAAACAGTAGGTTGGTATATTTATGGCAGAAGAAAGTAATAAATTACCACAAAATAAAAGGTTGTCACAGTGCCATTGATACACAGTGTTAAGTGCCAGTAGCAAAAAATTTTTTCCCTGTAGTAAACAGTGACATATATATATATATGTATATATATATACACTGGCTTATACTAAAATAGTAAATATGCATTCTAATTTTATTTTAACTGCATTTATTTCTCTTAGAAAACACTAGCGGTAAATATACGGCTTATATGAATAGCCACAGTGAGGTAGTATACAGTATATTCGTTGTTTAGAAAGTAACAAAAATGGTCATAAAGTAAAAAGTCACCAGAGTGTATTGAAACACAGCGTTTAACCCCAAATGCCTTCACATTGGGGATGGACCATTTCATTACGCTACGGTGAATTGCTGTCCATGGTGCTGAAACCTTTGTGGATTCTCCAAAACTATGGACCTTGTAGTGGACTAAACAGTATTTTTGCCCTGCTTTTGGTTGCATATAAACTGTATATATAAACAGTTAAAATGTAATTAATACAGGCGCATATTACTGTGCCGGGCTTATACTTTAAAGGAACTATGCAGTCGGATTTTATTTTACCTGCATTTCATAGAATTTCATAGAATTTAGTTTCTCCACAGTTATCACGGATCAAC